TTAATAAGTCATATTTACTTAGCCGTGCCTATCGCCTTCCAGCTTCCTGGAAGGACCGTGTCAGCAACAGCAATCATTGACTCAGGAGCTTGTAGCTGCTTTATAGACCTAGACTTTGCAGCTCGACAGCAGATCCCCCTACAGACAAAGGAATGTGGGTTAAATATCTTCCTAGCCGATGGGTCTCACATTAAATCAGGGTTAGTAGACCGGGAGACCCCACCTATCTGCACTACGGTGGCTGATCACCTTCAGGAATTTCTCCGCCTGGATGCCATTGCATCCCCTCTATTTCCAATTATCCTGGGGCTTCCCTGGTTACGAGCACATGATCCCCAGATTAATTGGAAGACAGGGTCAATTCAGTTTTGGTCATCCTACTGTCAGGAGCATTGCTATTCCAGGGTTCCCGCAGTCCCACAGTCCCTGCTATGTATGAACGTAGACGCAGAACTGACCCAAGTCATTCTCCCAGCCTACCACACCTACCTCGATGTGTTTAGTAAGCAGGGGGAAGACACTCTCCCTCCACATCGAACCTTTGACTGCCCCATCGACCTTCTCCCGGGATCTGAGATTCCTTTTGGGCGAATATTCCCCTTATCTGAGCAGGAGTTGGGGGGGGTACTAAAGGAGTACATAAATGAAAATCTCCAAAAGGGTTTCATTTGCCCCTCTACGTCACCAGCTGGAGCTGGAATCTTTTTTGTAGAAAAAAAAGACAAGTCCCTAAGGCCCTGCGTGGACTACCGGGAATTAAACAAAATAACGGTGAAAAATCGCTATCCGCTTCCCTTGGTTCCTGAGCTTTTTCAAAGACTAAGGTCAGCAGCAGTGTTTACCAAGTTGGATTTGAGGGGTGCGTATAATTTAGTCCGCATAAGGGAGGGAGATGAGTGGAAGACAGCATTTCGCACCAGGTTTGGGCACTTCGAGTACCTGGTCATGCCCTTCGGGCTATGCAATGCACCAGCCACATTCCAGCATTTTATAAATGACGTGTTCCGAGACTATTTATATGTCTTTGTGGTCGTATACTTAGACGACATCCTGATTTTCTCCCCATCCCTGGAGGTACATAGAGATCATGTCCGGAGAGTGTTGGAGCGACTTCGCCAACACGGGCTGTATGCCAAGGCGGACAAGTGTAGCTTTGAACAGCACAGCATTGCCTTCTTGGGATTGATTATCTCTACCACGGGAGTTGCCATGGACCCCCAGAAAATCTCTGCAATCATGGAGTGGCCAGTACCCATCGATAAAAAAGGGGTTCAGCGGTTTATTGGCTTCGCTAATTTCTATAGAAAGTTCATCAAGAACTTCTCGGGTCTTGTGTCCCCCATTACCCAGCTCACCAAGCAGGGGGGTCCGCTTCCGGTGGACACCTGAGGCACAGGTGGCATTCGAGTCCCTGAAGGGATTGTTTACCACAGCCCCTATTCTAAGTCACCCGGATTCCTCCTTACCCAATGTACTGGAGGTGGATGCGTCTGAGAACGCAGTGGGGGCAGTCCTGTCCCAGAGAAAGGGCACCAAAGAACTAATGCACCCAGTGGCCTTCTTCTCTAGAAAACTAACGTCAGCAGAGAGGAATTATGATATTGGAGACTGGGAACTCTTAGCGATCAAGACAGCTCTGGAGGAGTGGAGGTACCTGCTGGAAGGGGCTACGCACCCGATCTTAATTTTCACGGACTTCAAAAACTTGGAGTATTTGAGGACGGCTAAGCACCTGAGACCACGCCAGGCCAGATGGGCACTATTCTTTTCAAGGTTCGTGTTCCATATCACATATAGACCTGGATCTAAGAACACAAAACCTGACGCGCTCTCGCGCATGTTCGAGGACCCTGAAGAGGTTCCCAAACCAGACACCATTCTGTCTACAGGGAACTTTCTTGCCTCCAATCTGAACTACGTTCCAAATTACAGACGGCATCTGTAGGGATGCCAAGCCCACCCGGGGTTTACTTGCAGAACAAGGAAGGACTTTTCTGGAGAGAGGGACAGATTGTGGTACCCGAGGAGGCCCGTACCATAGTCCTTGGTTACTGCCATGATCACCCATTGGCTGGCCATTTTGGAACATGTAAAACGTTAGAGCTGTTACAACGCACATTCTGGTGGCCGAGTATGGTCAAAAATTGATTGTGAATCGTATGTGAAGACTTGTGCCATTTGTCAGAGAAACAAGCCCACCAGAAATAGGGCCTGGGGTCTATTACAACCCTTACCAATACCTGACAGCCCATGGAGAATGATCTCCGTAGACTTTGTAGTGGAGCTCCTACCTTCTCAGGAACACACGGCAATCTTTGTGGTTGTAGATCGCCTGTCAAAGATGGCCCATTTCCTTCCATTACAAAGCACACCTTCGGCTCCCAAGACAGCACAAATCTTTGTGAAGGAGGTTATAAGACTCCATGGAATACCGAAAGATATTGTCTTGGATCGGGGGGTCCAGTTCACCTCAAAGTTCTGGAAGGCTCTATGTGAGATCTTAGGAATTAAACTTTCTTTTTCATCTGCATACCACCCACAGACAATGGGGGCAGACAGAACGAATAAATCAGACATTGGAACAGTATCTCAGGTGCTACACCTCATTTCTACAGGATGATTGGCTGACGCTCCTGCCCTTGGCCGAATTCGCGTACAATAACGCAAGTCACTCTGCCACCAAGTAATCTCCGTTCTTTGCAAATTATGGGTTCCATCCCACATTTCTGCCTGACCTGATCCCACAAAGTTCGGTGCCCGCTACACAAGATATGATAAATTTATTTTCTTCCACCAATAAGGTGCTACAAGAGGCAATTGCTAAGGCCCAGGAGGATAATAAAAGGGAGTTTGACAGAAATAGAAGAGGCAAACTGATCCTGCAACCAGGGGACCAAGTTTGGTTAGCCACGACCAATCTAAAAATGTCATGCCCATCAAGGAAATTGGGACCGAAGTGCATGGGGCCATTCTGAGTGAAACGGAAAATTAATCAAGTAGCTTATGAGCTCACACTTCCTGAATCATTTAAGATGCACCCAGTTTTTCATGTGTCTTTGTTGAAACCTGCAGCGCCAAATTCCTTCCCGGATCAGAGGTCCAGACCCCCAGAGGCCGTGACCATCGACAAGGAAGAGGAGTTTGAAGTTGAGGCATTTTGGATTGTAGAAAGAGGGGAGGCCAAACACAGTTTCTCATGAAGTGGAAGGGTTATGGTCCTGAGGAGAATTCATGGGAGCCAGCCCAAAGCATCCATGCCCCTAGGTTGGTTTGGGAGTTTTTCCACAACCACCCACAGAGGAGAAATCAGTTGGGCATCCAGAGGCTGCCCATAGGGGGGGCAATGTCAGGAATCCCAAAGATCACCACGGCGCACGAATCTGCACAGGCGTAGGATCCCCACAAGACATACAGGAAGGGCGTGCACTAGGACCCAGGCACGCCTGTCGTCGCCGGACGGGCTATTTAAACCAGCTTGTGCAATGCTCACATTGCCATATGGCCTGTTCCCTGCTGGTCTGTTCCTGCGTGAGATACCTTGTTACTGACCCTGCTTGATCCTGACCTCTGTTGACCATCTCCTGCTCTGATCCCTGGCTCGTCTGACTATTCTTTTGCTGACTCCTGATTACCTGACCTCCTGTTGCTGAAACCTGGCTTGTGACCCGACTACTCTCTGTCCGCTGCTCTGTACCGTTTTGCCTCTGCTGTTACCGACCCGGCCTGCCTGACTACGCTACACGTACTCTGTCATCCATCCATCCTGCACGGATCCGGTCACCACTGCCCAGGTCTGCCAGCCTCTTCACATCAGGCTCTCTTCCGATACATACCTCCGGGGGTTCCCTCTACCACAGTCAGGTGCACTCAGGGGTCGTGACCTGGTCTCAGTCTGCTCCAAGTCTATCCCCACCATCAGGGGCCCTGGTGAATAAGCAGATTCGGGCTTAGACCCTGCGCCCTGGGGAATCCCGTTCTGTGGGTTGCTAGAGATACCGCAGGGTGGATCGTGGCACTAAGACACAACAGTAAACACATTACACCTTAATAAACTGATTACAGCATGGGACCTCAGCATCAGGTTGTTTTGAGCTGATTATATTAACATCTGCTCTGAGTCTCTGAGTCTAGAAGGGGGGTTGAAGCAGTCAATGCTGGTTTGGGCACAGAGATCCCCAAATCTGTATCCTGGTCCACCAGTACTCAGAAAATTTGTGTTTCGGGGTGAAACGGACTTGAATCCAAAGTAAAACTACTCCAAAGGTCCTCCCAGGTACACACCTCCCAAACAATACAGCCCCCTTGAATGCCAGGGCCCATGGTCAGTAGGCAAGAGGCTAGCCTGCAGTCCCCTCCAAAAGCCCCTGTCCCGGTTGGGTTTGTCACAATATTCAAACATTGCACTTCTTCTGTTAGTTTTTTGGTTCCTAGAGTGAAGCTTAAATGTACTCTGTTGGAATTCTGTGTAGAAATATTTAAAAGATCCCACAGAATATCTTTTTAAGGTTTTACCTATTTAACTTCCAAGGAACCTCATGTTATCACTAATTAGCCCAAATTAGCTGTTTTTATTTTTTTGCTCTCATCAGCCAGCACTTTATTTTTTTTTTTTTGTTATTTAAATATTATTAAGTTTTCAAAAATATCAAATTTATACAAACAAACCATAAACAAATAAAACTACCACGGATTTTATTTGTCATAATATCTGATTGTTTAACCAAAAGTCCTTAACATTTTCCCTGGTGATTGACATCTCTAGCCACCAATAGCGGCACGGGGTGGGGTGGCACGCGCCCCCTACCTGGAAATACAAATCATGTATATATATGTGATTTTACGCAGCCCTGTCGCCCTGTAGCAGTACTTTTTCTATAGGGTGAAGGGCAAGTAGAAAATACTGCAAATAGGCCTTAAAACTGTAGTCATCTTTTATACATTTCATCATGTGTGTAAGTTTTACTGTCTAAATAGTTTTATGTTTTTACTTATATCTGCAGGTTCTACAGCTCAGGCAAAGGACTGGTTCAAAATTCCTTCAAAAATCTCTCACAGATGTGGCTTTGGAGCACCATGAAGAGAGTGTGCTTGTCTGTGCAAAGGAAACACAGAAGGATAATCTGATGGATACATGAATCAATATTTAAAGCACATAAAATTTATTGCTGTTTCCCCATGGGGATAGCTTACTTTAACTCTGTAAACATGGAGGTCCATTTACGGCTGCCTGTATTGCAGATGTACAGCAATTTGACATGGTGATGAAAGGAGACGTGGAAAAAAAAACCCTTGCCTTGCCTTAATGTTTGGTTGGTGTTAAGCCCAGACACCACATCATTGAGAGGGTATTAGTCAGTGCGTTCTCGCCGCCCTTAAATGTTACTGTACACAGATGAACCTCTGGATTAGGAAAGGAAAGTCATCATCAGAGATGTCTACGGGACTGACTGAATGGAGATCTGCTATGGGCCTGACCACAGTACTGAATAACATCATTTTGGAGCTATATTCAGCTTTGAAATCCCAAAGAAAATGGTTTGCATGATATAAGCATCTTTGTATGCTTCTGTGGTAGGAACAGTTCCACCCAGATTTTGTAAGCATGACTAAGAAAGAGAGGATTTCCATTTAAAGCCTTGTGCAATCCATTGACCTATCATTTGTTTCTACGATATGCTCGGACCAATATCTTCATTAATCACAACTGATGTAGACAGTTGCCATAATCCAACAAGAGGCTTTTTTTGTTGTATTCTATTTTTCATTGAGTTACTTTTGTACATTTTATATTCTTTTGACATTATATCGATTTGCTTTTTTTTCCATTCGTGTTAATTATCTCTTTTTACATAGGGTATTTAAAATACTGTCTTTTTAAAGCTTAGATGAATTTGTTGTGTAATTCTTTCTCTTGTATTGTATCTTGTTTTGTAAAGCCCAGTTAAATTTTGGTTGAGCTGCAGAAGCTGGTTATTTGTATATGGTGCTAAACAGTGAAGTACAGAAATCTGGGTTGTTAAATTTGAAGAATAAATTACAGATTGGAAGAATACGTGGTACAGTGCTGCTACTCAACAGTCCTCTTAACTTAATGTAGTTTGTGTCAAGAAGAATGTGTCTGAACGCTCAAATGTGTATCAGATTTGGTTTGTAATAACTCTCGTTTATTTCTTAGCATCTGGTAACACACTTTATATTTACCAAAATGTGCAGTTCTCACTGTTCAGTTATCAACAAGGCAAATATTTAATGATTTCTATGAAACATGCTCATCAATAAACATACAGTGGAAAATGTCTTCAGATTTGCTCAAATTTTACTCTTATACATATCATAATTTCAACTTTTCACAGGGTTAAAGTGTATGTAAACCTAAAATAAAAACAAAATCCCCTTTATTGTATTTCTTTGTTCCTCAAAACTAATATTGCAAATTTTTTACAGCTAGTAATGCTGAAAAATACCTGATGACCCTTCCTGTATCCTCCACCCAGTCCAACTTCCTGTCTATACTTTTTTCAGCATTACCGTGCGTGCACAACTGTGGTAAAGTTGTCAAAATGCCTGCTTTCATCATTAATAGGAAAAGTAGGACCCTGCAAAGAGAGTAATTAATATTTACCTGCCCCACTTATTGCGCTGCCACACTGAGCAGCAAAGAAGATCTAAGCTTGCTGAAAGATCTTAAAGGTTATGTAAACTCTCACCTTGTAAAACAACCCATTCATCTTAAAATGGGAATGAAAGGCAAAACATGTATGTATAGATATAAAAAAAATTTTAAACACCTTTTTTCCCTTTTTTATAAGTGATCACATACCCTCTGTTCTCAGCTGCATAAGGAGCTCAGGGAGGAGAAACAGCAGGACACTGATCTTCCCATTGAATGGCTGTGTAGGAGGGACATGTCAGCACAGGTCTGATCATTGGAGGAGGGCAAGATAAGTTCCCAGCACAGCCAGAACACTGATCTTGCTGTGCTCTCATGCCTAGAGTAGGAGAGCAGAAGGACTGGCAGGCACACCAGGTAATTCACGCAAAGGAAGCAATACACAGAGAACAGGATACTTTACAAGGTACAGCAGGCACTGGAACACTGAAGCAAGAATATGAACAGTTGGGTTAACATTTTCTTTAAGCACAGGTGAGTAAGGTGTCTGGTCCTCTGCTGTGTGCTATGATTCTCTCCATGTTCCTAAGTTACTATTGTGTCCTGCATTAAGGTAGAGAACTGTGGAAGAAACCATAGAGATGCCAGCATTTGACACTCCAGGAAGTGTCAAATTCTAAACTTTCTTTGGCAGGCTTGGATCTTTAAAGCAGGTGATTTTTGTGGGACATGTAAGTATTTACGGCTTTTTTGCAGGGATGATTTTTCTTCACTTTTTAAAAACAGTAACAGAGTCTTCATAAACCAGTAGTCAGGGCAGATACACAGTATTAGTAACTTTGCAAGTCTGCATCAGTAAATGCCTGATGTCAAAATATACAATTTAATTTTTCAAATCAATTTGTACCTTTTATCAATAAAAAACAGTCCTTAGGCTTCAATGTGACTATGCTTTGGCTAAGCGATGTAATTAGTCATTTCCTCAGTGTTCTCATCCTTAGTCTGAGTTCATTTTGTGGGTAACATTGTTCATACAATTGTACGTTGTAGCTAGCCATGCTGTGAGATGCTACAGAGGGAACATGTGTAATACTGCACAGGCCAATGATTTTCATGATTACATCATCCAAGGGAAGAACTGTGTTCCAGGAAGTAGATGATGCGTCTGGATCATGCCTGAACAAAGATCATACCATCCTTTTGGAGAGATACTAATGAAGGTATTGTGGTGAGGGGGAGCACTATGATCTCTGTGAGAAATAATAAAAACTTGTAAGCGTTAGCATCATTGTACTTAACATGAAAAAGTGTTTATATATGATGCTAGCTCTGTTTTAAAATGCATATTATGTTGTGATATTTCCATCCAGTACCATGATCTAACTTCCTCCAATTCTGAGGGATTCGGTGGATATATTCTCATGTGTTTGTGACTCTTGTATAAGGGTCCATATGTTCTGGTAAGAGTCCTACCATTTTCTGGTGGTGAACTAAATCATATTGAAGACACATGGTGATCTACTGCATGGTTCAATATACTGGGACAATTTTCACATTTGGACTTATTTATATTATCACTTTATATGGTTGCCTTAGTTGCAACATTTGAGCACGGCAATTTATTTATAATATTATGTTGCTTATGGTGTGGTAAAAAATGATCACCAGTCCAAATGAAATAAAATGTGTTTTTTTTAATGTGTTGGCAATTTACTTTCTTTAAAAATAGTTTATTTATAACCAAAGTAGGGTTGCGCTGTTACTGATACAAGTATCAGTATCAATGCCATTACTAAGCATTTGCATGAGTACTCATACTTGTGCAAATGCTTCAATACCTGAAACTGATACCTTTGCTGTACAATTTGAGCCCATACAACATGATTGGGCTCAAATCGCACTGCAAAGAATCACATATGATTTGAACTGAAATTTCAATACTATTTGGACAGGAATCACACAGCATTCTTGTTCAAATAACATGTGATTCTTTGCATTGCGATTTTAGCACATTTATTTTCTATAGGCTCAAATCGCACACAAAGGTATCGGTAATCGGTATCAGCGAGTACTTGAGGACAAGTATCAGTACCAGTACTCGATAAAAAAAAACTGGTATTGATGCAATACTAAACCAAAGGAAGTACATGCAATTCAAATCACATAGGTCATCCTACAAGGAATACTTGCAAAGGACATTGCAACTGTCTCGAACATGTGGTATCGAATAAGGACAGATGAGTCCACAATTATGACAAATCACGGCTTGAACCTTTTTGCTTTGCATGTAATGAGTCTATCTCATAGATAAGTTTCACCTTTTAAGTTGCATTGCTGAAATAAATGAACTTTTGCACGATATTCTAATTTTTCGAGTTTCACCTGTACATGAAAATTATGTACATACTTCCTCTTTTTTGTGTTAAAAAAAGACACATATTAGCATAGATAGAACAATAGAACTCATAGTGACATTACACATTACACAGTAAGCCACCACATAACTCTAGATATAGAGTATGAAAAGAATGAAACAAAAGAAATAAAAAAAAGTAGAAAAAAAAAGGAAGGGAGAAAAAGAGGGAGAGTATGGAGAGGGGAAGCAGGGTGTGAAGAGAGGGTGGGCAGAGGGGAAAGTATGGATTCCCTACACCAATCCCAAGGAACAGGTTGCTCATAAGAGTGAGTAGTCTCACACAGTCTACGTTATGCTCTTGTTTTCTTCAGAATATATAAAGTTGTGCCTATAATATCAACTTTTTCAAAACATTTTAACGAGAGCTTCTGTCCGTGGAAACCAAGTCCTCTATATCACGTCTCCTGAACTTTAGATAAGCAGTGAGCAAACGTTGGAGCCTTGTTTCCAACAATTTAGAATACAACTCTTGGCCACAAAAAAAAAAGTGAGGCACTATAAAGCAGAAGAGTATGCAGTTTGGGGGTTCTGAGTTTACTTTTGTGTCACTTGCTGCATGCCTTTTCCTGATTAGTGACACAGAGGGGTTTATTTACTAAAGCTGGAGAGTTCAAAATCAGGCTCACTTCTGTTTAGAAACCAATCAGCTTTCAGGTTTTATTGCCAAAGCTTTATTGAACGAGCTGAGGCTAGAAGCTGATTGGTTTCTATGCAGAAGTGAGCCTGATTTTGCATTCTCCAGCTTTAGTAAATAAACCCCAGAAAGTCAGAAACAGCAACACCATATTTCTCTCACTACTACTTTCTATAAATTAGAAGGAAAAGTTAAGAAATAAATCAACATTTACTGGAAATGGTCCTGTCCCATTTCTCAACATGGCCCTGCATACATTTTATAACATTTGCAATGCAAACACACTTTTTAGCATTTTCCTCTGTAGACATGTGCCTGTAAAGATCCATCTCCTCTGTGTAATTGTAATGGGCGGGATGAATTCTATTGAATAGAAACGTCATTCACCAGTGTCCACTGCTCTAGTCATCGGGAGAGAATGTTACTTTCCACCAGCTGCACCAGAAGGAATAAGTGATCAATACTTGGTGGTCCCTTGAGGGTATCAGAAAAAAAAACACTAAACAATGTATTTACATTGCTATTTGTTATAAAATGTATGCATTGCCATGGAGAGAACATTTAGATGCTGGTTTATTGCTTAGCCTTTCGTTCAAAGTCAATTGACAAGCAAAACATTTTGATTTGCTTTGGATGGAGGGAGGAGGGAGGGAATGGATACAGCCTCTGTCTGTTTTTTTTATGACAATAGGTGTTTCTGTGGGGCAGATTTCTGCTAATCTCCTGTCAGAGCAGGAATTCATGGGAAATCTCTCCAATATGGGCACTGGTAAAAAGGGATATTTTCAGTACTTTCCAAAGACTTCTGACTTTTTTTATTCTTTTCCTTGTCCCATAGGGGCATGAAGTAAAAGGAAATCTTCCCAATACCCTAACATATAATGGGGTAAAAAAAAAAATTTACCCTGTTCTTATATCCATTGCTAAATTGTCATAATAGTTTTCATAAACGATATTATTTTACTAATGCAATTGAACCCTTAACATGGTCATATAAGCATTCAAATGCCATCAAAGTAGTGAGCCCAGAGTAATGAATGGTAGCATAACCTGTTACTATCAATGGGCAAATCTGACAGAGTTCGATTCACCCAGGGTTTGTCAATCTTTAACAAAGTTTAAAGAATCTGAATCCTATCTATAAGGAGGCAAGTCTTGTTGGTAAATTCTGGCCATTTTTACGGCAAGTAGGCAGACTACTTAAAAAAAAACTGAAGAGACCATAGTTAATGTAGAGGTGTAAAATTGGCCAGCAGGAGGTCAATTTTAATGAGCAAGGCTAGGTCTAAAATGACTACAGACAAAAAGCACAGGCTGAGGCTTTACCAAAAGAATTACAATACCATGTACATTTGTGCAGTATCAGGAAGTTTTAATCAATTCTAATATGCCAAAATGTAAAGCAGGGAGTGCAAGGAATACAAGATTTAGGAGACTGCAGATAATGCGATATTGTAAAATTGGCCGACAGTAGCACAATTTTGAGCAAGGCTAGTCCTATATTTACTAGAGACAGAGAGCACAGTTTTATTAGAAGAATAAGGAGTCTGCAAAGCACACAACGGTGTATAATTGGGTTAGGGACAGTAGGCCATATCTACATAAAATAAAAATAATAAAAACCCCACAAAACCCTCAAATACCTTCCCAAAACAAAATAAAATTTTCTTAAAGAGAATTGCAACAAAAATGCAGTTTAGCCTAAAATAAAGGTCCTATCAACATAAAGTCAAACCCAGTATACTCTCAAAATGAAAACTCCAAGTACCAACTCCAACAAGAAATTTTTTAAAGGGAAGCCTTGCAGAAAAAAAAAGAAACCACTGACTTCAAATTAAAGAAACATTTTAATGAAAAAAAGCCCTCAATATTAAGAACAAAAAAGGAAGGCAGCAAGGAACAATCATTTGCGAATGATTGCACCAACTGTCGTCACCTTCTCACTAAACTGCTTGGCAATAGTTTGGTAGTCCAGTCCAGCCTTGTGTAGGTCTACAATCTTGTCCCTGACATCCTTGGACATCTCTTTAGTCTTTGCCATGGTGGAGAGTTTGGAATTTAATTGTTTGATTGCTCCTGTGTACAGGTGTCTTTTATGCAGGTAACAAAATGAAATTAGCAGCACTCTCTTTAAGAGACTGCTTCTAATCTCAACTTGTTACCTGTATGAAAGACACCTGGTAACCAGAAATCCTGCTGAATGATAGGGGATCAAATACTTATTTCCCTCATGAACATGCAAATCAGTGCATAATTTGTTAGACATGCATTTTTTTTAAAACTTTTTGTTGCTATTTTGTCTCTCGGTGTTACAAGACACCTACCATTCGATTTTTAGACTGATCATTTCTTTGATAGTGGGCAAACATTCAGGGGATCAAATACTTATTTCCTTCACTGTAATAGTAATGGTCATTGTTGAAAGATCCTGCAGTGCATTATAGTTTTAAAAAAATTAAGAACCAGAACATCACACCTACTTGTTACCCATTTATGGCTACCTGGTCCTCTAAAATGCTGCTGTAGGTAATTTCCTTGGCTTTCACTGATCATTACACAAAACTGAAAGCGGAACAGAAACAAAAACTTGTTTGCAACATGACTCTGATTTTGCATATTATGCGATGGAAACTACGGACTATGCAGTTCAACGGGACCACCCATATCAATTCATGCTGTGAGTCTAACTTGTGACACATCTGCTGTGAACTGATTTTTAACCCTCAGTGCATGAACTTGTGCAGCTCCCACTAAAATAGATTTAAAGTTACCAAAATCGCATAAATATTTAACTAATGAAGTGATAACAAAGGCACAAAACTGCTTATTCTCTGAGCGATGAACATACATTTGGTACAGTCAGAACTTAAAGAAATGCAATGAGTATCAACCCACCCATATGCTGCAGAGATCTATTATGTATCTAGACTAGACTACACTTTCAGACTATGCATTTAGCAATTAGGCATCCCTAGAGACAGCTAAAAGCACTAATGCTTACAGAACCAATATTTTATGAGCCTATAAGAAGTCATCCATAGATTGCATTGATGATGGCCAGAGACTGTGGACATAGTACAGGAGATGACCAGAGACTGCAGACATACTACAGGAGATGACCAGAGACTGCGGATATAGCACAGGAGATGACCAGAGACTGCGGATATAGTACAGGAGATGACCAGAGACTGCGGATATAGTACAGGAGATGACCCGAGACTACAGACATAGTACAGGAGATGACCAGAGACTGCGAATGCACTACAGGAGATGACCCGAGACTACAGACATAGTACAGGAGATGACCAGAGACTGTGGATATAGTACAGGAGATGACCCGAGACTGCGGATATAGTACAGGAGATGACCCGAGACTGCGGATATAGTACAGGAGATGACCAGAGACTGTGGACATAGTACAGGAGATGTCCAGAGACTGCGGACATAGTACAGGAGATGACCAGAGACTGCAGACATAGTACAGGAGATGACCAGAGACTGCGGACATAGTACAGGAGATGACCAGAGACTGCGGACAAAGTACAGGAGATGACCAGAGACTGCGGACAAAGTACAGGAGATGACCAGAGACTGCGGACATAGTACAGGAGATGACCAGAGACTGTGGACATAGTACAGGGGATGACCAGAGACTGCAGACGTAGTACAAGAGATCACCAGAGACTGCAGACAAAGTACAGGAGATGACCAGAGGCTGCAGATATAGTACAGGAGATGGCCAGAGTCTCCAGACATAGTACAGGAGATGACCAGAGACTTCAGATATAGTACAGGAGATGACCAGAGACTGCGGACATAGTACAAGAGATGACCAGAGACTGCGGACATAGTACAGGAGAAGACCAGAGACTGCAGACACACTACTGTAGATGACCAGAGACTGCAGGCATATTACAGGGGATGAACAGAGTTCTTTCAGCAATGCACAGATGTACATTTTGTGAAAAACAGCTCAGGGTTTGGTATAACAGTCCACAGGCACTCTATGGGGGGAAGGACATACCTGGCCAGCATCTTCTCTGAGGTCCGGGGGCGGAGCTCCCACTCACATCACAACTTCTACTACAGCAGCTCCCTCTCGAGCATACAGGCTGCATGGGGTGGGGTCAGTGGAGCCAGAGAGCCAGTAAGGGGTTAACACTGGCTCTGCAGTTTCTGGGCTCTGCCCTCTACCCTGTGTTGTATATGAAAATGGGGAGGGCTGTGCTCTAAGAGCTCCTGAGCACATGGGAAGGAAAGCAAGCTGGGTTATGGACTGATGTAGGTTATCTCTGAGGACATCAACCCTTTTTGGGCAGGGCACTACCGAAGATCAAGTGGATTGTCTGAGCAAACTGTTAACCTTTGAAGAGGCTGGCCTGAAGTTCTTCCACAAAGGGCTGCATGCAGGGCTAATGATAAACAGGGCTTGTACAAAGGAGATGAAGAGGGCATGTAAGAAGGCAACCATGCAAGGGTGAAGCGTGCAGGAAAGCTGATGGAAGATGCAGCTATATTTCCTTTGCCATGGGTAACCAGCACACTGTTGTGAATGTGATAGCAACCAGCCAGTGAGAGGTCGGTACCTGTCATGGAAGATGGTCACCCCTGTAGTGAGAGGGTTGGTGAGCTTCACCCCCTCCTTAGCGATCGGTAACCCATACCTGGGACCAACATTGTGGCACAGGGGACCTAGGGACCTAGCCTAAAGGCACGGAAGCAGGAGTAAGTAAGGAAGTGGATCCAACTCAAGATAAAAGCTTGTTAGCAACTGCATTCTGTGCTAAGAGTCTGGCGGGAACTCACATCGTCCCTGGGAGTGAGGTGACCAGCTATTGCTGTGCTGGAGAGCAGGACACTGTCTCCACAGTGTCCCCTCAGAAATGCTGAATTTGTGAGAGGAAGTGTAGAATAACATGGGAAAAGTGCTTAACCATTAGGTTTTCGAATCTATCAAGTGGAACTGTGCAAAAATGAACTGCTGACTTCTGCACCACCTTAACCTGGTCAAGACCTTTCCACAACAAACCTAGTTTCATTTTAAAAACTCCATCCTAAAATTTTATTTATCAAAAATGTCCACAGCCTATGTTTAAAATGAAAGTCAGCTTAGGCTGCACTACTAACCTTCAATTCCAAGCTGTCTCCCACACTACCTCTTCTTTGCCTCTAGATGTCCTTAGTCTTCTTGACTGGATGACACCCAGCATCACTTAGCTCTGAAGACTGAGATCTGTACTGTGAATGTGGGGGTCATAGGTGGCAATAAGTCACAATGTAATAATGCAGAGAGCAGTGCCTCTTTCATCATGTCAGCACTGGTCCTTGCATCAGCAAGGATTGCCAAGAGAGTTGAAGAAGACCACAAGCCAAATCCCTTTCCCATGGGACTTTAAATGAGGTATAACATATAGTAGATTATTTGTAAAATGTCAGTTTATTGAATTTTACTTGAAAATCTCATAGCTTAAAATAACAAGCTGGTTAGTTATATCAGCCTAGGGTACGCATTGGGGGAGATTTACTAAAACTGGTGCACTCAGAATCTGGTGCAGCTGTGCATGATAGCCAATCAGTTTCTAACTTTAGCTTGTTCAATTAAGCTATGAGAATAAAACCTGGAAGCTAATTGGTTTCTGTGCAGAGCCGCACACGAATTTGCACTTTCCAATTTTAGTAAATAACCCCCATATTTAGTCCATGCAGATATTCTCACATAGCCAATTTACTAAATAGGAGTGCATTCTAAAACTAGACGCGTTTTCCGAATATATCGTCACTTCTTCAGGACAAGCAATCAAGCCAGTTTGTAAGTAATTTTTTTCATTATTCAATGACAATTAAGTTGAGCAATAAAACCTCTCTCCTTATCAGGGAGTGCTCAAATACATTCTAAAACCTTGTTATCTAGTTTACAGATTTTATACCAGTGACATCCATTCCTGAAAAAGCGAAGATACATTCACAAAATGTGTTGAGTTTTAGGATGCGCTCCAATTTAGTATTATGACTATGTGTGAATATCATTTTATTTGTTATTTTAAGCTATGAGATTTTCATGTAACATTCAATAATATGACCTTTTTCATATAATCTACTTACATGTTATGCCTTATTTAAAGTCCCATGGGCAAGTGATTTGGTTTGTGTACACACAGTATTTATTAGGGATGGAGGCATAGCATTTTAGGCAACAGATCATAGTTTTTTATTTATTTTTTTGTTTGATTTTTTTTTTTTCTATTTAGTTGAAGAAGGCCAGTTGGCATCACTTGATGGGCCTAAATGCTTCAGAAAAGCAAAGTATAAAAGAATAGCATAGCATGCTGAGGGTACGTTCAGAATAGTAAGGAGGAGCAGCATGATTCAAGCCATAGCACATGCAGTAGTGTGCGCTTAACGCACACATTTTAATATGCATTTTACATCGTGCTGCAATGAGGTTTCTACTAGTGTTGCAATGCATTTTAATCCATTTTCCTTTTTTTTTTCAACACAGAAACCATAGGGGACAAAAGAATTTGCTTTGCTCTTGTGTTGGCACTGTGTTAGGCAATACTGACCAAAGCAGCCCAAAGTTGCATTATATATGGTTTACAGTAAAAATGTTTTGGTAAAATGTTTATTTGCCAATAAGTACACATTACATATACAGTATAGCAAGCTTAGTAATACAGAAAATGTTCTCAGCTTATTCTCTTACTGGACCTAAACTATAGCAAACTACATATCATGTTAAATGGTTATATTCTTTTTTTCATGTTTTATTTTATGCCCTTTTTATAATTTTTGCTGTATTTATTAATGTATATTCTTTTTTCAAGCAATTTATTTCAGAGGGGGACCTCGCCTTGTGGTTCATTACCTGTTATTGTCCCTTTCTGTTTTTTTTTTTTTCTTCAATTTGTTATGCTCTGTTCTTCCAATATTCAGTCTCATTAGCAGGCTATAGTGCGTTATTACCGGAGGCATTTTCAGAGTCTCTGCTGGTAGTCTGCTACGTATAGCATCAAGGGATTCTATATTATGCAGTTCTGCTAATATATCCAGCCATTAATTGTTGGCAGAAATAAATGAGCATTCTAATAGGAATTAGAAGATTAACATTATCTCTGTAAAGATAACAATACTCACAAAATTAAATTTCAAATAGGTAGTTTGCAATGATATTTTTGTACTAATCACCTGTTTCATTCTAATTTTTTTCCTGACTTTTGTAGCATTATGGAAATTTCAGCAAGAGTGTGATTTCATAGTGGGGATACAGAACTAGCACCTTCCCACACTTTTAAATGATTCATCTTTGCTCTTGGTGGCCAGGACAGACATACCTTTAGGGAGGCAGTTTACAGTTGCCTGTATTCCCCAGTGTATTATGAATATGTGTGTATTTCTGAAACAAATCTTTGTTTAGTCATATCATTTATCTAAATAGGTAAACCTTTACTGCCTAAGAGGAAGTCAATTTGATGACAAAATACGCCCCAGGGAAGTGACATCAGACACAAATTGGACGTGCTGTGGTGGCCATTTTGGAAAAGGGGGTTTTGTATCCGGAATCCATGTAAGCACACTTTAACAGTAAAGTGTTATTTTATGCATACTGCTGCACTATAGGATTTTGTATTTGATTTTACATATTGGTCGGGAGGATATGAAGAAATATAGAGAAGAGGTGATAGCGGAGATGAAAGGGAGAATTTAAAGAGTCACATAGTTATTCATGCAGGGTAAGGTGTATGCCCTAAAGGGGAAGGGAGGGCAATGACTAAGGGTTTGAACACTGGAAATGGATGGAGCACTTTATACACTAAGAGGAGTGTGAGATGTATTGTTGAGGATATATATATATATATATATATATATATATATATATATATATATATATAGATTGCATGCACAGAATTAAAATACTGGAGAGTAGGAGTACATATCGCGAATAGTGGTTGATGTTGATTACACGGTGAATTATAGTTTTGGAGCATGTTATGATTTTTGGGGAGTACGGGCAGTGGAGTGGACGGTAAAGAAGGGGAGAAAAGGAAAACTGAAATATATACATCAGGTGTTTGATATGAAGAATCTGGTGAGAGCATATGGAGATCTATGATTGTGTGGGGATTGAAGGGGATAGTGCGCTGGTTTTATATATAAGTATGTAAGGTTTGGTTTGTGTCACTCTCACTCTTTGCTGAAAAATAACATCAAAGTGCGCACCAACCTGTGATGAAAAATAGTGTTCCATTCCATAGATCTAGCAAATCTTCCAAAATACACGAAGAGCTGTGCTCCCAAAGCACACTCCCAGAACGCCTACACCCCCCCCCCCCCCCCCCCAAATGTGTCTGCTTACCTTCAATATAGACCTTCTCATTCTCAACAAAGGTCAAATATGCATGTTAAAAACATCAGAATTCAGGTAAATATCAAAAGTCTTCCAAACCATACAGAACTTCAGCCGAGATCAATTATGTCTCATAGGTCAACCTCATGAAACAAACAGCCAGTTGAGCCCAAAGGAATTAATCACACATTTCAGATTAAAATAGCATGACAATCACTTGTCTGTACAGTCCTTAGTGGTACAGTGCTTGTTGTTGTTATTGCAATGGATGATACATATTCAAAGTGCATGTCACCCCACACAGTCTCAGAAATACTTCTCCCTTAGAACACCAAGCTCTGCCCAACATGTTTCGTCATTATCAAAGTAATTTTTTCTTGCACTTGTTTTTTTGTTTGTTTATTGGAGCAGTGTTCTGCTAATAAAAGTAAGCTTCAAGAACAGGTAGTCAGCAACAAGTAAACAAGGAAGGGAGGGAAGAATCTAAGGACTTGGAGGACTGTTTATTTCAAA